CGTTGGACGGAGAAGTGGTGCCTTGGGGCGCGCCCGGGATCCGAACCCGGGCCGCCAGCATCAGAGCGCACGCACTTAACCGCTAAGCCACGGAGCCGGCCCTCTGTAAACAAATTTTAAATGTAAGGAAAAAATTGGGAAGGAATATTTGTAACATACATAACAAAAATTTAGTACCAGAATATGAAAGAACTGCAAATCAATAAGAAAAAGACCAACAGAAAAATGGGCAAAGGATATGAAAAGGAATTTTCAGAAGATATTTAAGTAGCACATGAAGATAGGAAGAAAGGCTCAACTATGTAACCATTAGGGAAATACAATTTAAAACAATAAGATACCGTTTTCTATCCATCACATTAACAGAAATTAAAACATCAATCAACAACAAGTGTTGGGGTATTGTGAGGAAACTGGTAAAAAAACAGATTGTTACTGTAGGGGAGGAAATCTATCTTTTTCCTCTACCCTTTTAAGTTTTGGGCTGGGGCTCCTGTAACAAAAGATGAACAAAAGAAAAATGTACAAATTTATTTAATGTAAGTTTTATGTGACACGAGAGCTTTAATAAGGAGATGAAGACCCCAAGAAAGTGGCTAACCTGAGTGTTTTTATGCCAGGTTTGATGAAGAGTGAAGAGTTGTTCAAAAGTATGATAGGAGGAAAAGGAGTATGAGCTGAGCGCAGTAAACTGGGGCAACAGCAAGGCCTGCTCGTTCAGATCCCTCTTGGTGTCTTGGAGAGAATGACGCACCTTTCCTCTGGGTATGGGGGAGTCTCTCTCACATCAGGGGTCTCTGACCTGCTTCAGGGGAGGTCAGCAAGTCCTTCCTGTACCTGCTGTTTCTCAAATTCCTTCAGCTTAAAACATTCAGTATGCCAAGGTGCCATATTTTGGAGTAGCGTGTCCTGAACCCCCTGATTACAAACACCTGGAGAGAAATTTGGCAATTTCCAGTCAGAGTAAAAATTCTCATTCCTTGCATTTAGGAGTTCCACTTATAGGTATCTAACGTAGAGGAGCAGTCACACTGATGGAGAGACAAATATGTGAATCTTTGTTGCAAACTTAAAAAAAAAATTTTATTATGGACATTTTCTTTTTTTTTTGTGAGGAAGATCAGCCCTGTGCTAACATCTGCCAATCCTCCTCGTTTTTTTTTTTTTTTTT